CTTTGTCCTTGCTCGGTTTACTGAAAAGCGCAACATTTAACGAAATGTGAGCTTTGGAACATCGTAGGAACTTTTTCAAAAATATTTTGAAAGAGAGGGTTTTAAGGTCTAAAATCTTTAGTCAAAAGGCTTTGGTCCAAAAAGGGGTGTGAAGTTGGGATTTGAAGCTCCTCTTGCCGAAGAAATCGAACATTTGCACTGCACATCTTTCATTACCAAGGAAACAATCAGCGGCGCCCAAGTCTTAAAGACGGTCAGAAATGGGGTGTCTACAATTGCATATGCATTTCAACTTCATATCTTTATTAAGATTCATATGTTGTATTGGATTATTTCTACTGGGCTTTGGCTCACCTTATGTGAACAACCGTTTTCAGGTATCGATGATATGCCTCTGCTAAGGCAATAGTTTGGGAGGACTTGGAAGTAAGGGCTTCATTTTGTTTACTTTGTTGTATTTAATTGTACAAGCCTAGGGCTTTAACTGTATTGGATTTAAATCCATTTCGTTGTAACCAAGCACTGTCTTGGAAAACTGTAAGCCCTTGTGGCATTTCTTATTTGTTTGATGTTCATTTTATTATGTAACATATGCTATAGATTCAGGGATAAGCTTATGAATGTATACCTGCATATCTAACTCTTTTGTAAACCTAAATGGGAATTAATGGAAGATAATTACTTTGTTATTGTTGTTATTTATCAATGTTGTGGATGGATTAATGTATTTATTTCGGGCATTACAGTTGGTAATTTAATGTCGACTGATGAATGTTAAACAAACTGTCTTTCATATGCAAGATCACCAAAGGTCGTCCATAGAGTCGACAATTGAATGCTAAATGAGCCGTCTTCTAAATACAAGATCACCAAAAGGCCGTCAATAGAGTTGACAATTGCAACTAGATTGATGAATGTTGAATGAGCCGACCGCCATGTTCAACATCGCCAAAGATCACTCCTTGGGTTGGCCAAGTTTAGAAAACCACCCCCCGGGGTCAACCAAGTTCAGTGTGGTCATCTCACGAGGTTGGCCAACTTTAGAGTTGTCATCTCACAAGGTTGGCCAAGTTCAGAAGACCACCCCTCGGGGTTGGCCAAGTTCAAAAAACCACCTCTTCAGGTTGACCAAGTTCAGAGTGGTTGTCCCACGAGGTTGGCCAACTTAGAAGGCCACCCCTTGAGGTTGGCCAACTTCAAAATGGTCATCCCAGTAGATCAGTCAAGTTTAAAAGACCAACCCCCAGGGTTAACCAAGTTCAAAATGGTCATTCCACGAGGTTGGCCAAGTTTAGAAAATCACCCCTCGAGATTGAACAAGTTTAGAGTGACCAACCCACGTGGTAATTCAGGATGACCATATATAGATGTTGGCCAAGTTTAGAGGTCATCATTGATGAGAAAGCACAACAGTCACCAAGGCAGAAGATTCGAAAATCACAATGGAAAATAAAATACTAAAGAGCACATTGACAACAAGAAACAATAACGAGAATAGAGGGCCCAACAAGATTGAAGCCTCATATTTCACAAAGATGAATAGTTGAAGAAAAATAGACGAAAGGTTAGATCCTAACTAAATTGAATTCCCAATCATAAGCACCACTTAAGAGTTAGGGACTACTGATACATGCACAACCAAGATGGGCAATCCGAACTTTAATTCCCTTCACTCGACTGAAGCATCACTTGTGAATAAGGGTCTATTAATACATTTATAATAGGTTAAGGTCCAGGTTTGGTAGATCAACCCATATGGCCTATGGCCCAACAAGATTGAGGCCTACTGTGAAAATTGATTTTGGCAAACTGCTTGAGTGGTCATTTGGTCACATAAGCAAAGATTCTTAGCCCTCAGTAGTTTGCCATTTTGCAGGCGAGACCACTCGAGCGGTGATGTGGTTACTCGAGCACAAATTTCATGCTTCTAGTATTTTCACTGTAACTCTACAAAACTTTTGCGGCATCTCGTTTACCGCTCGAGCAGTGGAAATGTCGCTCAAGCGGTTTCTTCAAATTTGTGTTGTTTGCTTGAGCGATGGAAAGTTCGCTCGAGCGGTCTGTCGGGGCAGCTGACTTAAAAAGTCTATCTTTACTCATTTTCTTTCCACTTTCACATATTTTCTCTCTCTCAAACCCTATTTTCCGTAAACCCCAGCCTAGAAGCACTAAATTTCTTTAACTTTTAACTAAGATTCACTCCAAATCTTTTAAGAAAATTGAAGAACAAGTCAAGCTTTGGATTTTCACCGATTGTTTTGCAATTTTGTTGAAGTTTCACGTGGATTCTCATATCTAGCTTCTATTCTTGAGGTAGGTGTGTCTTTAACTTGTTATATCTTTAATTTGAAACTCATATGTGGTAATTTCATTAGATACTCATTATTAATGTGTGTGTGTATATATATATATAGAGAGAGAGAGAGAGATTGTTTTGTGTTAGTGAAAGAATTGGACAAAAGTGAGCAATGTTTCATGATTATGGAAGGATTGTGTTTATTATTGATGATTATTGTTATTTGTGATGAACATTAACTTCAATTTCATGAAAGAGAGGAAATCCCTAATTGTTATATAAAACCCTAGTTTTGGAAATTGTTCAATAAAAAGGGGTTTTGCTTAATTGATTTCAAAAACATGAAATCAAAGGTATTTGCTCAATTTTGACGTTGAAATGTATGATTTGAAATGTTTTTCTGTATATACTTGGTGTTGGTGATGATTGCTAAATGAGTAATCTTTATTATTGAAGAGTGAAACAGTGAATTGCTGTGAATTGGAATCATTTTAGGGGAAATCGAGAATTTACAAATTCATGCATCATATGCATTATTAAATTTCTCTTATGATACAATAATGGTGCGAACAGTGGAAAGTTGAAAAGGGATAAATAATCTATGAGTCCGGGTAGTGAGTTGGGGTTAGGTTGTGTATTGTATTTGATACCCGCGCGGGGAGTCAAGGTGCCCAACTGCCCTGTCTGCGCATATCGCCGAATGAATGTGGGAAAATGTTCTTTGGGTGTCGACGAGCTCGTCGTTTCTGGAGTCAGCAAATGTGGAAAAACATGGTTTTGGGTGTCCACGTCCCCGCTGTTTCTGGAATTGACAAATGTAGATAGGAAAAAGGTTTTTGCGTGCCCATCGAGCTGCCGTTTTTTAAGTCGGCAAATGTGAGACTATTTTCAAAATACAAAATCTATATCTATGTATGTATTTTGAATTGCGGCTCTTAGAATGTCATAGTATATTTATGGTCCATGAAAAAGCTGGAAATGTTGATTGAATCTTAACGTTGCTTATTTCATACTCATGCATAAACGCACCTATACACTTAAATATAACAAAATTTACCAAATGTTTGCATTGCATGATCATGTGTTTTTCGATTGATGCTATAACCTGTTAAATGCATTACCTACTGAGCTTTTGCTCACCCCAAACTAACCAAATTTCAGGAAAAGAAGATGAAGCCCCTCCTAAGGGACTGTTTTGAGAAGCATAAAAGTTTTGGGATGTGAAAGCTTTTTTTTGAAATCGTATTTTGTGTATGCCAGTTTTGGTGACTATATGTCAATTTATATTTTAGTGTAACCAGGATCAAATTTTGAGGGATAGTCAACTTGTAACAGATTTTGTTGTATCATTCTTTACTTGTTGAACTATTTTATTTTGTTTATGAATGTAATGAGACACTGTTGTAAAGCTTGAAAAAAGTTCAAAAGGGAAGAAATGTTATTGATGTTATTTCATTGCTATTGTCTCGTTCTTGTTGTTGATCGTATATTGGGAATGCCTGGATGAACGAGATCAGGGAAGTTCATTGCTAGGGCGTTACACCCACCACCATCTGTAGCCTAAGACAAATACTTCCTATAAAAGCCACGGTATGGAACATAAATCCTAAGCTCTCCATCTCTATGCATCTACACCTTTAACAAAGATATCGGAGGGTCTTTGGCTGACACCACATTAGTGCTCCAAAGACATCTTATCCTCTCTTACAGATCATTGGATCGGATTGAAACCATACAAATATGTTTATCAACAATAAATATTGTAGGTAGCATTAGCAGTTCAAGATTGTCTTTGGTTTATAAATTTAGATAGAGATTTGGAAAATGAAAGAAAAAATATAATTGAAATGTAAATGAAATATTTCTTTTTCCAAATTACTTCCTAAATTCATGAACTAAGCACAACGTAAAAATCATTATGGAGTGATTACATTGGGTTTCCATTGGATTTTTTTGTTTAAAAAAAAAAAAATTCAAAAATTCAACCAGACAATTTTGATTTTGACAATTTTATTCCTCTTCGTCATTGCTCTTTTCTCCCTCTTTTATTTATATATTTTTGCATTTTGTAAGATTTATTTTTCTTTTACAAAAGAAAAATCAGACTTTTCAGGCACCTAATTAATCCCTAAAACACTTCACCCTCGTACTGCGCACACCAAACAATTGCCACTGTTTTCAAAACCACCACAAATAAAATTAAAAAAAAAAAAAAAACAATTACTAAGCAGTGTTCAATAAAAAAAGGACATTTTTTGAAAAGAAATTTGTTAGCATATTTTATTATTATTATTATTATTATTATTACTATTACTATTACTATTAAGATCGGTCTAAATTAGTACAACCTAAAAATATTTTTTTTTTAATTTTAAAAATGTTTCATTAAGAGGCCAAAAATAAAAATAAAAATAAAAAAACTACTGCTGAAAAATTAATTGTCAAACCAACTTTAATGCCGGAAACAGCAGCGACCATAGATGTATCCAATGCCCTTCCAAGAGCTGAAAGAAAGAAATTAGACTAATAAGAGCCCAAGAAATAAGTTTTGTAACAAAGCCATTTTGAAGGAACGAAAAACAAACCCAAACCCAAACCAAACTAAAACCAAGCCTTAACTCCGTCAAATGGGGTGGGTGAGCGGCATGAATTCTATTTCTTCACTCGACTCTATCCTACATCAAATGGGAACGAAAAACAAAAAAACCAACAAAAAAAAAAATTTGATAACCTGATTTTCATAAACGTATACAATACACCCTGTTTCTATAGTCATACATTAGAACTACAGATCAAAATTTAAACTAATGTACACAAAAACTACAAACATGGCAAAGCCAGGTCACAAAGGTAAGTTAATGTGTCATTTCGCAGCTTGTTAGATACAGCAGCAGCGAGAAAGATGAATTGATGTCAATTAAGGTCCGGGTTGATCCTCCCTGCAATCAATGGGCATATCTCTTTCTTCTCCTCCTCGAGCCAATCCCGGGAAATAATATCAGATCATTTGTGTCTTCCAAGAAATACTCCGAGCTTCAAAAATGGATGTGTGCCCTCTCTCACCAATGAGAAGAGGAAAAAAAATGAAAGAATTACAACAAAAAACACCAATCAGTATCTAGTTCTCCATTAATCACGTTGCTGACAACGATCTTGAATCTTCTGATTTGTTCCTACGGCACATACAATCTGGACAAGGAAATGAATATATCGAGTCACTTGGTCTTTTGAGCTCAATTCCTTTAGAATCACTATGAGCTCGCATATTCAGCATGTTTCGCTTGAAGCTTTTCCACCTGGGGAATGGATGAAGATGAAAAGAAACAAATAAAAAAAATTAAGATCAAGCCATATTTATTATTTTTATTCTGAACAAGCTCTTTCTAACATGCTACCGACAAAAAATAACTGATCATCAAATAGGTTGTATCAATTTTACATGAACACAAGAAATCTATTCTACAACACGGCATGGCTGTGGCTCTCCAAATCGGCCTGAGGTAGCATCAAACTTAATCAGTAGAAGTGCCTTGAACAAATAAATATTACTGTTGTCAGAGATTCTAGTTTTCGAGTACAATCTAAGGTAACATCCTAACAAGTAGAATTGATTAAATAGAAGTTTTGATACTAACATCTAACATGTGGCAATAAATAAATAAAAAAACAAAAATTCCAATAACTTGTACATAATGGATACTTGAACTGAAGGTAAATGAAAGCAATGAGATGAAATATATACCCATTGGTATTATCAAATAATAATGCTAACTTCCGCTTGTCAGGTCTGATTGTCTGGGAGTGTCCACCATATAAGTATCTCCGATGGCCCAACAGAAAATGAGGAAAGTTTCCACCTTGAGTTGTCACAAAAACTTCACTATGAAGACAAACAGTGTAGTCTATGGCAGCCATCCTGGAAGAATAGTTCTAGAAGAAGCAACTCTAGTCAAAAGCAATGACCTTGAATCAGACCTCAAAAAAGAGGAAGTAAAATTGGAAGAACCCCACAAACACAAAGCATTCAAACCTTAAATGGAGCAAGTTCCTCAGGGGATGCCAACATCTCTTTAGTTTGTAAAAGTGGAAACATTTCGAATAGTGGAGCCATATATCTATTGGCATCATATATTGTTCCAGAAGCTAAATAGATAGAAGTACTTTTGTCAAACCCCATTCCCCTAAGGATTAAGCCGACCTGATGAGATACAACAAGAACCATAGAATTAGCTGTTAATATATTTTCATATAGGGCAAATTACCAACACCCCCTTCAAGGTTTGACTAAAATACAGATTTCCCCCCGAGGTTTGGAAAATTACAAATTGCCTCCTAAGGTTTATATTTGCATAACAATAATTTTTATGCAAATATAAACCTCAGGGAGTAATTTGTTATGCAAATATAAACCTCAGGGGGGGATGTAATTTCTCAAACCTCAAGGGAGAATCCGTATTTTAGTCAAACCTCGAGGGGGGTATTGGTAATTTGCCCTTTCATATATAATGAGGATACAATCAATAATAACACATTCAACTATTGTCTTTAATTTTTCCATGGCCTGAAAAGGAGAAATAAGTGAACACACACTTGCAACACAAAAGAGAACTTCAAATGCCTTTCAAAATAATACAATATAAATTGGAATATAAATTTCAATAGAAGAATGGGAATCAATAGTGACATAAATTGAAATATAAGCTAAATTTAGTTTTATTCACATAAGTTTTACTTTTTCAGACAAAAAGAAGGTGCTTGATAACTTGATTCAGTACTTAAACTGAATGTATCAAGTGATAATCAATTAAACTCGTTTGATAACTACAATTGATATCACTTAAAAATTTAAGCACCTCGTAAAATATATGCTAAAGATTAAGAAAATTTTAAGTCGTCTGAAACATAATTTTGACTAAATTTATAAATACTAAACGTAAGAATCAATATACACTATTATAAACTCACTACTACAACTACCGCTACTACCACCACCACCACCACTATCACTACTGTCACCACCTAAGAAGCACGGACACGGACACGGACACGCATACGGACACGGACACGGACACGGGACACGGGAATTTCTAAAAAATGGGGACACGGACACGGCAGGGGACACGGCAAATTTTTAAATTTTTCGGACACGCGTGTCGCCTGCAAAAAAATAAATTAAATTAAGGGGACACGCCAGATGCCGTGTCCCGTACGTGTCCCCGACGTGTCCCCGTGTCCCCGGCGTGTCCCCGTATCCGACACTGCCACGGCTTCCATTTTGCCGTGTCTATGCTTCATAGGTCACCGCCACCGCCACCATCATCATGCCACCACCATTACCACCACATTCATCACCATTGTCATTGTTGCCTAAGCACCACCATCATTTTACTATCACTAACATTGCACTGCTACCACCACCATGCCACCACCACCGCCACCGTCATACCATCACAACCCAACACTACTACCACCATCACAATATAAAAATTAAAATAATATATAATTTAAAAATAATAAATTTCAAATTTGATCTTATATATATTAAACAATTTTCTTTTTTAGTTTAGCACTTAAATTTGAATCAAAAAGCTTTTTAGCTTAAAAACTTCAGCATTCAATTTCAATACTTAATTTTCAGTCTTCAGTTTTCAGTTTTATCAAACACTACTAAAGTGAGTCCCTTATTTATAAAAGATTTCTTCCCAGTACATCACATTGCTTCAGCATATTCTGCAATGAACTTCTCTAGGAAAAACATTGAACAGAAATTTAAGGTAGAACAAAGTGGAATATCAATATGAAACAGCACAACAGAATAACTATCAATCCTGTGTATAATAATGGTCCCTGACGACATCACTTAGTGAATGAGTAACCACTCCGCATGGCAAGTATCACGTATCAATAGAGCAACAACAAAGAAGATATCATCTTCTAGGAGATCACCTTTCTAGGCATTGGGGAAAACAGTTAGTGTGACAACCCCGACATACATATTACTTTTATATATTATATCATCGAGCATATTTGCATAATTATGTGTTTGATTGGTGTTTATCTGTTTGTTTTTGGAATATCTGGGAGAGTACCAACTTTGAATTTGAAAGTGAAATTGAAATTGAAATTGAAAGCTCAAACGGACTCAAAAACCAAAATTGACTAGTTCAATAGATTAATTGGAATATCTAGAATTACACTAACAAGTTTGATTAAAATTTGATTCGGATAAAAATAATTAGATTAAATCAATTAGATTTGATTAGGATTAATTAGAATTAAGGTTAATTAATTAGCCCTAATCTCATTTTATTAGCTTAACCTAATCAAGCCTATATATAGGTCATATAAGCTTAATGAATTCGTTTTTTCTCATCAACTTGGCTGAGATTTAGAGAGAGGAAGAAAGAGAGAAACAATTCCTAGAGAGAGGTTGAAGAATTGAAAGGATTTGAAGGGGAATTGAAGGATTAAGCTAACCAACTCTCAAATTCAAGCTCTAGGTATGGAACTTAACCATAATTCTTGCACATAATTCAAGTAGAAGTTAAATTCATAAAATTTCTAGGAACATTTCCATGTAATTGACAAGAAAATGAAGAAATCAGCTAGTTTATGGAAGAATTGAGTTAATTGTGCACACGCATGCATATTTCATCATTCTTGAGTTTGATTTTCAACAAAAACATTACATGCATGATGTTACGCTAGCTATCTTTGAAGCTTCTTCATGATTTTACACTCCTCATTCCATATATTCATGTTTCGAAAGAGAACTTAAATTCTTTACAAGCATGGCTAAGGTATCAAGTTTTAAATTTGATTTTGAGAATTGACAATGGTTTTGAGCGATTGATCTTAAATTGGTTATGTTTATATAATATGCAAAGAGTTTCTAAGTGTTCTACTAACTTGTGAATGAGCCATGCAAGTTCATGATTTCAAACTATGGCCCTGTTTGGTAGAGCTGTAAGAAAGTGCTTATAAGTTATGCCTAAACAACTTATAGCTTATAACTATGAACATAAGCTGATTTCTGACTTATAAATTAAGCATCTCCTACCCCACTCAAAGAATAAGTTGATTTCTGACTTCCAAAAAGCTATAAGTTATAAGCTATAAGCTAAACTAAACACATCAAAATAGCTTAAATTAAGCTGAAAGCTGAAATAAGCAGCTTTTAAGCTGCACCAAACAGGCACTATGTATTTGAAGCTCAACTTTGTTCTGGAAATTACAAAATTCTGCTTCACCGCTTGAGCGAACAATCTGTCACTCGAGCGTACATTTCATGCAACCAGTATTTTTGCAGACATTTGGAGTTGGCTCGAGCGACCAAGTCACTGCTCAAGCGACCGCTTTTTATTTTGCGCCTTGGCTCAAGTGAACATCCAGTCTAGATTTGGACCATCCAATACTTTTGCAGGCAAGCCTCACAGCTCGAGCAACCAAAGGTGCGCTCGAGTGAACTACCCTGTTTTTAGCATTTTTTAAACACACTCCCATGTGCATGTTTTCATCCTCATGCTCTCTTAAGCATTATTGGACATCGTTTAGACAACATTAATAAGGAAATACATTAGAAACACATAAAAGGAAATTGAATTAGATATAACGTTTGATTGAGACCTGTGTTTCAATGTGTGCTTTGTTATGTGTATTGTGTAGGTGGACGCCCGAGGCCTAATATCGGTACAACCCATTGTGTGTAATGTCTTTATAAAGCTATGTTCGAAAAGTATTTTGAAATTGTTCAAGATTGATATTTTGAATCATATTTTGTTATCTATGAATGAATGTCCATTTTGAAATTGTATTTGTGGCATCTATTAGTGAGGCTCTCGCCTAGGAGAAACAATATCATGACCCATCGATTAAAAGGCCCTTGCCTAGGGGAAACAATACCATGGCCCATCGATTAATAGGCCCTTGCCTGGGAAAAACAATACCAATGGCCCATTGGATTAATTGAAACACAGAGATCTCTGACGTTAGACCTTAATGGTCCACATTGAATTATGAATTATTGATTGACCCGTTGTGGTCCAATTGGATTGACCCTCGTGGTCTTATTGGCTTCGACACATCGTTTCATTGTTACTCTATTGGATGTATCACGTATAATGATTCGAATGATTATTGTTATCACAAAGAATTGATATAATTGTTATTCAAATTGTTTTGCTTATTGAAATAAATTGTTTCGGAAATGAAAGATGTTTTGTAACATGCTAGATTTCATTCATATAAAACCTTTATATTGATATTACTTATTGGGTTTCAGCTCACCCCTCCCTTATATATATATATATATATATATGTAGGTGAGCAAGTGGAACGTCAAGCCTAAGGTAGCCTCAGAATCTATCCCTATGAAGCCATTTTTGAAGTGCCTTCGTGACGAGACGTGCTTGGACTCGAGAGGAGTCCAACTTTGTCAACCCTTCTGTTTTACGTTCTTTTGTTTTGTTGTTTAAGAAAACTTGTTTTGAATGGATATTATGTATAAGGAGTTAACTGAATATGGTGTATGTATGCATATAAGATTGTATGTATGAAGTTTAAAGTTTTAAATGTATATGAATTTGGCATATATGCATTGCTCAATTGACTATCTTTTATATTCAATATTGCTTCCGCTAAGCCCCGTTATTATATTATTATTGATTTTGTCTTTGAGGCCATAGGTAATCTGAGATTATTGGCCGGTCATGACCTAAATCTATAAGGGCGGGTTTGGGTCGCGACAGAGTAGTATCAGAGCATGAGTTATATCTCATTGGCTTGTCCATTAAGCAATAAGGTGTCTAGAAAAGATTTAAGGACTGCATTCATATGCATTTTAATGTCAAAATGAAATAACTTTTGTAATTGTGTGTATGTATATCCGTGCGTACACTGTGTCTATGTATATGTATAATACAAGTTTCATATAGATAATGGTGAGAATAAGAGGGGATAAACTAGAGGAGTCAACCTCCTCAAGACTTGACAGAATGAAAAGAATGATGCATGATATGGCTGGAAGCTTAAAACAAAAACAATAATGGCAACAACAACCACCACCGCCCTCACCTCCAATGCCTGCACCGGTATAGGACCATCAATCAGATGACCAAACCATTGCCCTTACTAAGGAATTTAAAAAGATGAAGCCATCTTTATTTCATGCAGTAGACCTGCTCAAAGCTGAAGCTTGGG